CTCGTTGGAATAATGCAGAAGTGTGTGGGGTGGTTCTGATACTATAACGATTCCTAACAGCCCTGTCATGCACTTCGTAACTAAATCTTAACTTAGCTCTTAGATATTCAGGCTTTGATGACAATATTATTTTATGAACTAAAACTAAGAATTTATGTTTAACCAAACTTCCTAACCTAAGCCAGTTCAATTCCCTATATTTATCACTTACGTGATCGTATTTACGCAACCCATAAATAAAGCGAACACAGTTATTTTGGATGATTTGAAGACGATTTTTGGTCAATTGACCCAAACATGGATAATAAACGACATCACAGTAACTGAGCATTGATATCATCAAAGATTCGCACAGTTTTTTTTCTCTTAAAGTTAAGCAAGTAGCGATTGGAATAAAGAGCCCTAGAATACAGGTAAGTTTTTTTCATCAAATTAGCTATTTGGCTGCGGAATCTTAATTTTGTGTCAATTTCCACTCCTAGTACCTCAGCTGTTTGAGTATGATGTAATGTTATGCCATCAATAGTCGGATGGAAAGAATCTTCGACAGTTTTCCTCTTTTGATCAGAACAAAACAATAACACTTGTGTCTTATCTGGATTAATAGCAAGATTATGTTCCATAGAAAACTGATGTACCTTATCTAAATCAAGCTGTAAAATGTCTGATGAATTTTGCGTATCTGAGGCGTCGAAATGGAATATTATTTGAGTATCGTCAGCAAATGTTTGTATCCCTGAATTATCAACTGCTTTATGCAGGTCACACGTGTAAGTAAAAAAGACCACAGGTCCCAAAATTGAGCCTTGCGGAACTCCTGACGGAATAGTCGTAATATTGGATTGATCGTTATTGATTGCGACACATTGCGTGCGACCGGACAAATAGCTACGGAAAAAACTGACAGCAGCATCATCGAAGCCTATATACCTCAGCTTGGCGCACAAAAGTTTACGATTTATTCGATCGAATGCTTTGGAATAGTCAATTGATACCACTGCTGTTGCTAACTTTTTGTCAACTGCCCTAATAACATTATCACAAAGATCTAACAGTGCCGAGGTGGTACTATGGTGCTTCCTGAAGCCCGATTGACATGACGATATTATTTTAAGTTCCTCTATGTAATGGACAACTTGTTACTGTATAATTTTTTCCAAAATTTTCGATAGCACCGGCAACAAACTAATGGGTCTAAGATGTTTAAGTTCAGTAGGTTTAGATATTTTAGGGACAGGTATAATTAGAGCCAGCTTCCACAGCTTAGGGTGGTAGCCATTTTCCAAACATGAGTATATTATGTGGGTGATATGGAAAAAAGTTACGGGAAGACTTACTTTGACCATGGTTAGTGAGAGGGTGTCAATTCCTTTTGCATCTGATTTGATATCTTTGATTGCCTTCAATATTTCCACCGGCTCGACAACTCGCAAAGAAAAGCGATTTCGATTGTCCAATTTGTTGCTGTCATAAAACCGACATACATTTTCTGAGACACTGTCGTAACTATGAACTGACAAAAAATAATTGTTAATACTATTTGCATCGGCTAGCTCATCTGGTATTGTTTGTTTTGAACTAGATTTTATGTTAAGCCTATTCAGCCCAGACCATAAAGTTTTTAGATTATTTTGATCAGTTAGATTCTGAATGTACTCTTTCTTTTTAATTCGAATTTTATGTAGTGCCTTATTCCTCAGCTGTTGGAATTTATCAAGGTCTTCAAGTGATTTACTAGCTTTATATTTAGTAAAAGCTGAATCTTTTTCTTTGATAAGCTTTTTCATTCCCTCATCCAACCAAGGAGATGGCGGTTTATTAACACGTAGTGTCTTAATCGAAGCATGTTTGTTATAAATATTTGTGAGGGTTGTCGACAGATGTTCCACTTTAGCATCTATGTTATTCATAAAATATAAGGTACACAGATCTGGAATGAACGCTGCCTCATCAAACTCACGGAAGTCTCTCACGGATGAATGTTTGATGCATCTTGCCAGCACTAAGTTTCAGAGTACACATAACAAGCTTATGGTCAGATATTTCATGAGCATCAAGTACCAAACAGCCAGTGACAAGTTCCGGCTGATTAGTGAAAAATGGATCAAGCAATGAAGCGGTGTCGTTTGTCACCCGTGTAGGGGATGTAACTAACTGTGAAAAGCCAGCTACCTCAAAAGTCGAGGATATGATATTACTTGAATTCAGAAAATCGTGATTCAAATCACCCAAAACAATAACATTGTCAAAATCATTAACGATGACGGGTAGCAAATTATCTTAGACATTAACACAGTCCAAAAGACTGCGACGGCGGACGATACAAAACGCCAACCGCGAATTTATGCTTATCCACATTCACTTGCACAAAAAGAGTCTCTAAACATACAACACGAATATCAACATTAATAACTTTTGCATTCAAATGCGATTTAATATAAATGCCAACACCACCGCCTCGTGAGGCTCGATCACAACGGAAAAAATTGTATCCATCGACACGTACAATGTTATCAGGGATGTCGCTAGAGAGCCATGTCTCACTTACTGCTAAAAAATCAAAATTCTCAGTTTTCAGTATAGTTGTGAAAGCATCAAAATCTGATAAAAGAGACCGTACGTTTAAGTTGTAACTGTACACGTTTTGCATTGTTCCTATTTTTGGCAGGAATATCCCTCCAATGCTTGATAAGTAGCACATCAGCTGCTATGGCGTTTTCATGTTGTTCGACGTAAGTCAACGCCTTTTGTAGCGCTTCTAATCCCTCAGAATGTGATATTTTGGCACATATTTCTGTCTCATTGTCACTAGCATCACTTAAAACTGTCTCTTCATAAACAGTTTTTATTATGTAGTTCTGTATCAGTTAATTCGTCCACCAATTCATTACCATTAATCCACTCACCTACATCTGCATAGGTAAGATCTTCACACCCTGCTATTTTTACGACGAGCTCATGTAAATTTTTGTTGTTATTCTCATAGTATGCGCAAGGTTCCATTTCTTACTTAATTATTATCGACCAAGATTTTTATAAAGTTGAATTTTTTACTTGCTCTATGCTTCTGCTATCCAATATGCCACAATCTTGAGGTTAATCTCTTTTAAACAAGGGGTTACAACTATTATCAACTTGATCTAAAATTTGCTCTAATAACAAACGTATGTAATTCCATTTTAAATTTTCTAAAACTTTATTATCCATTGGCTGACTCAGTGACGTTACATTAGGAGGCAAAAACATCACTCGTATCTCTCCACTTTTAAGTTGCTCCTCACTTGGGTGGATAGGAGCATTTTCTAATAGCAAAATACATTTTCTCAGATATCCACGTTCATTCAGATATCGTTCTGTCTTGGGAACAAAATGATTGTAAAACCAGTCCCTAAATAGGGCGGCATCCTTTAAGGTATTTTTTTTATTGTTATACCACACTGGAAGAGCGTTGAGACGGACATGTTTAAATGGTCTTGGTAAATTTGTTTTGGATTCAAACTATACTGCTTCATTAATTCTTCAAAATGTTCTCCAAATTTTATTGCGGCGGGTAAATTTTCTCCGCAAACTTTTAATTCTCGTATACCGTGTCGTTTTTCCAGCCAACCATCACTGGCTGCAAAGGTATCAGGCGCCCCAATAACTCTCAATTCTTCACTTAAGTTGACTGTTTGCTTTAGAATTGGTCCGGAAATTGGTATTCCACGTTCTGGATTCTGTGTAAACCACAGATATAAAGCATCATCCACTTTTTGATATTCCCCCTTTTTCATAGTTTTCCGTGACAGCTGCGATGATGTCAGAACACAAGACCACTTTTCATTGTTCTCGCGTCGTTGTTTTCATTCTGAAATGGTCACGCCCACACCCAAACCACTTGCCACGTTTTTAAGCAAATCACCTCTATCTAAACGTCTGATTGGCTCAAGTTTCTGTTCTATGGTAATAACAACGCGTTTACGTTTATTTCTATACTGCTCCATCTTAGCGATTATGAACCTGACTGAAACAAACATACATGCACACATACCAGTGAATTCCGCAAACGCGCTTGGGGAATCACCGGCAGCGAATCTAATGACGCAAACGCCGAAAGGGGAACTACCGGTGGTTATTTCGGATCATGCGCCGATTTCCCGAACAACTTCGGTTAAAACGGAGAAATTATTGTATGCGATCTATTTCAGATACAGCGAATTTCGGATAATCGCGATTCGGATCATCGGGGTTCTACTGTATAATTATTTTCCACCAACTAAAAATCACATGGATGTGTATGTCGAATTAGCCGAAGCGTTGTTCTCTTATATTAAATGTTTTAAAATGACCGAATCCTAAGAATGTATTGCTTGAACTACGCAGGATGTCGAGAAATGATACTTTAGGCCCGTATCGTCAGTCGTCCCTACAATTGTAGGGCGCGTTTATGACCTCCTTGATTGTCATACTCCTTTCTCTCCTTCAAAAATTTCTAGATTACACTTGTCCCGTGTCAGCGTCAGTGCTCTACTATTGTGAAGATATGTTTTCTTTTTAAATTGTAGGAAATTTCAGGCTGATAAAACATGACATAACTCAAAAGCAAGCACAATTTGATGCAAATAGATGTTTGTGACATAACCTCAAAATAGAGCGCTGACACGGAGAAGTAGAAAACTATGACAATCAAGGAGGCCATAAAGGCGCCCTACAATTGTAGAGACGACTGGCGATACGGGCCTAAGTACCCCAAAGTTCATTTGCTCTGCAGGACCTCTAAGTTCACGATTCTCCTCATATAAATAGGTAACGGAACTTGAAATTTAGTCATCACTGCCTCTGTGTATATTTCTCCTAAATGTTCATTGGTAATTGTACCGTTAGCACAGTACCTTTGTCCTTGGTTTAAGTACTGTAGGTCAGTAAAACTGCCAGGTCTGGTTGCACAGATGGTACACAAAATTGAGGGAACAAAATTGAGGGAACAAAATTAATGTTGTGTTCATTAATGAGATAGTTACCTTTCGTATGTCGTCTAGATTGTGTATTTCTGGTGATAATCCGCCGTGAACGCAGAGGAACTGTTGGTTCATAAGTGCCGCCAGCGGCAAACAGTCAAACGCCTCCATACATGACTCGTATACTCTCTCCGAATATTTTATTTTACCTGAAACAAACAATCGTAAATTTAACAACAGTATTGTAGCGTTTTTCTGCGTTCTTTTGGGTGTAGATTAAAACACTGGATTGTACAAAAAGAAATACACTAATTTATTTAACTTGATAGAACATTTATGTACACCACTATTTATGCCTGACTAATTCTTATGTCGTCATTGACTGCACTATACTCCAGTCCGCTGCTACTCTACCGTATTCAGTACTCTGCTTCGATTTCCCGGCCGCCGAGTTATATACAGTCCCCATTGCTGATTCGAGAAAGGTCTGGTGAACCACAAAGCGGCATCTACAATACTGGAGGTAGAAGGTGAGTCACTGTCACGGTCCTCACAGACAAGCGGCTTGTGCGGTCGTGGTTCGCGTAAAAGCACAGATCGGTCGTGAAGCTCTGGCGAGTAGGAGACTCGCCCAACTGATGGCGCCAATAGTACTTTTTGTCACAGTATCTATTCACATATGAGGGTTGATCCGGGAATAAGGTTACCAAAGATCTCAAGTCACATTGGAAGGTGCAACAACAACCCAAACATGCTTTATCTGGATCTTGTATATGTTAGCATGTAAAGTACTTTTAGCCCTGACAAACAACCAAGCTTCTTCCCTAGGTGCTGCGATTGACGAGACGTATGCAACTGTGCATCTCAAGTCATCAAATAGTTTCCTGACAAAACTCGACCGACCACCAAAATAGAATATGCACTTGGGCGTATCTTACTAGTAGGTGTTCTGTACGTGTTAGTTTAACAACGTCCAGATCATTGTCTTTTGTTCTGAAAAAGGAACTTCCTTATCAGTTTTTTTCTCACCAGCTCAATCTCATTTCAAGAGTTTTCGCTTAGCTGTACATTGTGCAGGAAAGGAAATCATTAACGGATAACTGAAACCACGTTGGAGCCAGAATCCTGTCCCTGCGGAACATCCGCGTTGACATTGTGGGATTCAGAGGAACTATCAAAGTGAGGTACCAAGCACTTGAGGTATAATAGATTCAATTGCAAGCAAAATATATCTTATGAAGCCTTCTCATATTTGTCTAAAGTTCGTATGTAACAAACGAAACTTCACTAGCCCTATGCTCCGCATGTCTGTCAGACAATCGTATTCCACCACAAAGAACAATAATGAAGCTAAAACCGATCCGTGGAAAAGACCTGGGTGAAGATGAGAACCCATGAGACACTTGGGCTGTGAGACATCCATCTACAAGAACAATGCATCTTATATAATACTGTATCACATTTGTTTTACGTTCTCTACAGGCCAAACTGGGCAATTGTCCTGACGTGGCATAAATGAGATTTGAACAGAGTTTAGATAACGAACCAAGTGTTATAAGAAATATTCCATCTACAGGGAATATGAATCCGTCTCACATTTATCTCACGTTTCCTTGTAACAAACGAAACGAAACTGCATTTGCCCCATATGTCTGTCAGGCAAGCAATCGTATTACACCACAGTGCGATAAGAGGAATAAAGACGATGTTCACGTAATATTATTCCTTTTTTAAGCGGAGATCGCATAACATGTGCAAGGAATATTTATGGGTGAAACGCCTGGTGAAATTTCATGGAAGTCTGGAAATCGGATTATGAATAACTCCACGAGGGCGATTTCTTTTTAGTGCGGGCGGTGTATAGTGGCGTGAAAATAAACAAAGGACTTGTCTGATAAATTAAAGTACGTGACATAACTAGGTTGAGAGAAGACTGTAATAACCTACGAATGGCTGGCTTTCATCTATCTATTCTAACTTGGTCCAGCTATGTATTTCGAGAATTGACTGATACGACTACAACTTTTTCCTATGTATTGATAGTGTGGAACTGTCCATCCGGAGAAATTTTTCCTAGTTGTGTTATCCCTAGGTAGTTCAAAAATCGAATCCAGATAACAGTTGCGATGATGTGGTATATAACTATATCTAGGGCACAAAAAAAAGAAGGAAGTACGGCTATGTTGTAACGTGAATATCCCGGAGATAAGAAAACCCTATTTAACAAAGTAACAGACATATTTTAAACCGTAAAAACGGCTGGTTCATTATTGTTATTACTATACACGAAAAAGAAAAGTAAAATACGTAACGTAAAATACATAAAATAAAAACTAAAAGTTCATTGCTATACTTGTAAATTTTGATCACTACTCCACCTGTCATAATACACTTTGAATCTATTGACTGACGTAGCATAAGCGCACTTTCTGGTAAACGGTTCCAAGTGTTGAATACGCGATTGGGGAAAAACCACTAACGTCTGTCATTCTAAACTCAGTTTGAAGCTGTGACGTTGCCAAATCGTATTTAGATTTTGGTTGCTTCTCTAAATCAGAAGTGAAACATGTCTTTGGATAATCAGATTTGCTTTAATTTGCTACTGTCGAAATAACACATTATGTTTGAATATAAGACCTGTAAGCTTTTTCCGACATAAATTTAGAAAGATCTACAAGTTTTATAGTTGATTGACACATTTTGAGTATACTACAATTATTTCCGAAAAACTTGGAGTGGTGCGTATAATTTCCAAATAGTCTTTTACATAAGGTTATTAGTTTGACGATTGATGATGCAATAACATCAGCAATGCGAAAAAACATACATCTTAAAATGTAAGTGCCGGCTGAATATATTTTTATACATCTTTCAGTTTAAATACTTTCTTTACTTTTGTGATTCATTGTGTTGTGTATTAGAGATCAATCGTAATTATTGTTCATCTTGTTGAAACTGAAAGAAGAGGGGAAAAGAGGCATGTGATTCAATATGCAACAAAGTTTAAATCAATGTTTGGAAAATCAAAGTTTTACCCAACTGATGACTTGTATAATGATGCACACACATACATACACATGCAGCCTACCCCTGTGTGTGAACGTCAGCTCAAAGACATACGTTTTTTAGTTGTGTGTCTCCGTCTCGAAAGCTTTGTCGTTACGTATGCGTGCCCTTCAATAACATATTTGTCAGAGTGACAACTTACATGACATGGGCGTGCAATTTAAGTTGTCTTGTTATCAATCAACAATATAAAATTTTCCAATGCCCGGATATACGATCAATGGAGAAGGCCAACAGCTCGTGCTAAATTTATTTGAGTATCTCCAGGAAGAGAATGAAAACTGCAGTCCCTTGTTACCCACTTCATACGTAGTGGAGAGAGTAGCAGATGCACTGAAGATTACTCTGCGCAGTGTTCAGCGAATAAAGTCAGAAAATAAGTAAGGTTTGCCGTTAGTAAAACCTGGGGAAGCTCACAAAATCCAAAAATGCAAGACCGATGATGTAAGTGATGCCGTCAAAACAGAAATTAGAAATACTTTCTACGACATTATAAGTAAAGGGCAACATATCACGACCTCTGCGCTCAAGATCCGTTCATGGTACGGAGACTCGATCTGTTTACTTATTTTATATATGGCGTTGATGACGTAGCCGCCAAGAATGGTGACTACAACTATAAGCAATTTTACTTCTTACATACAATCACTCATTATCACAAAGTTATTAGTGAATGCGACGAGTATTTAGCTCAAAGTTGTATGAACATTTACCAGATAATTTAAAACAATTACGCAAAACATTAAATAAAAAAAATTTAAAAAATTGATTAACACGCTTGGGAGAAACAACATTGATGGAATAACCTCAAATATTACACAGTAAATACCATCATCCTCTTCTCTCTATTAATTCTTTTTTTATCTGTTGCAATTCAGCATACATAATATGATCAATGCATGTCCTTCATGGATAGGTTTCATCTATAGCCAGTTGTATTTTAGAGTAAATAATATAAGGGTATAAAAATATAACTTCAGTGAGGAAGAATCATCTACAAGTTTGTATGCATATCTGTTAAAACATGCTATCATCAAAAAATAATATTTTTGAGAGCAAAACAACAGTGCATACGATTTTAATGTTTTAGCGCCAGTGCTAAAATTCCGCAGTCCATGGACGCAGCTAGCAGCTTTTATTTTTGTTTTGGCGTTACTGGTGCTTGCCAGGTCGTAAATCAAGCCGGATCAAAAGCTGATTTTTTATGTAGTTGCTTCAAGCGCAGCGTAGTGAAAATCTTTGACAGGTCCATATTGATTTGGCCGGTTCTGTAATGGAAGGCCTTTAGAGCTTTTCGTCTGCTGTCATATGGAGATTTACGCGATTCTATATCAGCCTTAGCTTACTGTGTGGACTATTATGATCTATATCCGATTTTTTGCACCAAGGAAAATATTCGTTAAAGATTATTTTATGTGCCTTAAGAAGCCGATCATGGAAATGACATATAACAGATTATATATATAGGTCAGCACTGCAGGCCGAATAGGCCCCTGACTTGAGTGGTAACCTGTCGCCAGCTTTTCTTGTTTACTGCCTTCTTCTTCCAATTGTTAATTCTTAAATTTTGAATATCCATTTCCACTTCCTATTTCTATCTGGTTTTCGGTCTTCCTCGCCTCCTTTTTCCACCAATATTGCTTGTTAGTATTCTTTTTTGTATTCTGGTCTCCGTCATCCTTTGGACATGTCCTAACCATCTCAATCTTTGAGCTTTCACTGTTCCTACTATATCAGGTTCACCATAAAGCAGTTCTTTGTTCGATCTCCGCACCCATCTACCGCACTCCCGCTTCCCACCGAATATCTTGCGTAAGATTTTTCTCTCCCAAATAGCGATTTTGTTCTGTTCTGCTTTATTTAATGTCCATACTTCACTGCCATAGATGACAATAGGTCTTAAAATAGTTTTATACAACCGTAGTTTAGCCTTTCTGGACACGATTTTACTCTTCAGTAGTCGATTCAGTGAGTAAACACACCGGTTACCCATCATCAGCCTATTCTGAATTTCTTCCGCTATATCTGGTCTTCTTTTAAAAACAGTTCCTAAAAACGCGTACGTTTCTACCTCTTCAAATTGGTAAGTTTTGCCACTGGCTGCTTTTACTGTTAGCCACTCATTTTTAAACTCTTCCTCTTT